TTGAGATATATGATTTTTTTAAAGATTTATAAACAAAAAATTTTGCCCATAGAACTAGTTTTTTTTGAAAAAAATTAATGTTCGTTAAAACGACCATGGTGACTCAAGAGTTGTGCATGTACAAAAAAACACCAAAAAATAGTAAAAAACATATTATTTATTTAGAATGAAAATCAACAAAACAATTACGTTCACGGACAATACATAAATGAATTTTGCATTTACTACAACTAATGTGTGTCTTTTTCAGACAGGTTCCATTTTTACACCTTGCACCTTGCTTGCTCTGGTCAAATATGGGCAAATGATCCACGCCGTCAAAACGAACTTCTCTTAATGGCCTTTGCTCCATCTTCAATTTTTTGGTGATTGGTGGTGTACAAGATTCATTATTGCTTGATGGACGTCCTACCTTTTTTTTTATTGGTATACCTGCATGTATAAGGGCTTCTGCAATGTACATTCTAAAACTAATCAAATCCAACAATTTGTTTTTGGGAACATTTATTATTCTGGATTTCTCTTTGTATTCTAACCAGGAATTTACACAGGCTATATCTATCGCATGGGTGAACATTCTAAGTGTCCACTTTTTACTTCTTATGAATGTTCTATAAATACTTATGAGGAAGTCTAGTTTGTCGACTCCGCCCATACATTCATTGTATAATTTTACAACTTCTGGTCGAGCTATGTGAACGTATTCTTTAGCAGATTTGTCCCATCTCTTACATTGGTCAGTTGTACCAACACTTACAAAATTTGATGACATAATCACTGGTTTGTTATCATACCATTTTGTAAGAATAATACCATCCTTACTAAGAACTTCCTCAGAAGTACCTCTAGGCTGCTTTTTTAATATTTGGTCAGATGTAAAAGGAGGATTTTGAAAACGGTTAACTCTAGCTGTACTTGCTGCATATATGTTCTTACTTTTGAGATATTGAAGTAGATTGTAACTCGAAAAATAGTTATCATAATAAAGTTTTACGTAATCTATGTTTATTCTTTCACATAATTTAATTACTGTAGCAGCACCAGCCCCAAATATACTGATATTTTCTTTATTCACTTCAGTAGTTTCTCCTTGATAAATAATAAAATCATAAAGTAATCCGCTTTTTCCACACAAAGCAAACAATTTTACGCCCCAGGGGCACGGTTTACCTTTTATATATTGCTTCACGTTTAACTGCCCTTTGAATGGTATTATCTGTTCGTCTATACACAAATTGGCCTCGAGATCTAATGTATTACATCTCGACTTTATTGCATTATACAACGGTCTTACTTTCCATAAACGATCTTGGTTGTTTCGGTCTTGCTCTAAATTGTTAACAAAATGTAAATTTTGTCTCAATTTGTAAAATCTATTCACATTCATATTTTCTCTGATAATTGGGATGCCTAATTTGGAATCCCAATAGAATCGGGTCCTGGGATAATGTAAGTTACCCATCATGATATGAATGCCGATAAATAATCTAATCTCTAACAGATTTGTAGGAGCAAAGTTGTTAACGTTGTTTTGAACCGCGTATAAATTTGTCATTTCAACCATAGTATTACAGAGGTCATCATTAAAATAGTTGCAAAAATATTTGATTGGGGATAGTATCTCAACTATTTCAGTATCAATAGGTTTGTACCATGGTAATGGTGGTGTTAAATATTGCACATTTTTCATCCACTCTATATTCTCTTTATAAGTGAGACCGTTTGCTTCACAATATTGTTTCATATATGCCTTAGATTTATATTTATTAATTTTTGTTCTATCTTTATCTTCTTTAGGACCTTCAACCAATTCGTCTCGTTTTTCGTCTTCACCTACTTTATTTTGTTCTTCGGTGTCAGATTTCTGTTCTTCAGATCTTTCGTCATTATCTAAAATTTATTTATATTGTCTAAACATGGTATTACTTGATCAATATTGCTTACCTTCTAAATCAGAATGATCAACATCTGAGGTATCCTGTGACTTCTGTAATTCATCATCTTCCTCATCATCGCTCATAACTTCAATATCTGACAAATTATTGATAATATCAAGAAGTTCAGCTTCAGTAAGTGGCTTTCTAGACATGTTTTCGAAATAAGAAATCTGAAAATTAAATAACCTTTGAGTCACCATGTTCGTTTAAAATAACACATGATTTTTTGTATAAAACTATATAAAGTAGCTAATATTTTTTATGTTTTTGTACATACATATAAAAACTAACAATTAAGTACCTATAAAATAATTTTAAAATTATATTTTAACTTACCTAATAAGTTTAAACACAAAGGAAATATCACGAATTGCAGCTAACCTCAAAATGTGTGTTACCATGCGCTACTTATCAACCAAACTGAGCTGTTCGGAACAAGCGTGACACTGTGACTTGTATAACGTGCAGAGACGATGTTCGTTTAGAGGATCATGGTGATTCAACGTAAAAAATAGGAATTAGCTATCGTTGGCGCTTATGAAAAGTTGATGTTCGTTTAAACGAACATGGTGACTGAAAGGGTTAAGGATTCAAAGTTATTTCAATGAACTTAAATTAATATTTTCACGTGACGGAATCTAAATTGATTATTTAATTTAATAAATATGTAATATAAATGTAGCAGCATGGATTGACTTCACCAGAACACAACATTAAACATCAGGTTAGGTCAACATCATGTCAAAATTTATGAAGTTATTTCCGTAGCATGACAGGCTTGAACATGCGCAGAATACAGAAGGCTGTAGAACCTTGTATATTCCACCAAAAAAAGTTAGTTAAAAAAAACCAAAAAAAACTTAATGATAAGATATGAAATAGATCGGGATTTAAGTTTGACTATATAAAAAAAATGACCTTCTGTTCTTTGCAAGTAAATCATGGAAATTTCATATTTAAATTATTTCGGAACTCAAAAATAAATCTCTAAAGAAATACTAAATACAATGATAAATTTGATTGTATGATGAAGAGATAATACGTATGAAATGATTTACTTACATGGAGCCGCAGCACGCCAGAAAAATCTTCCTTTTTCTGTGGAACTCTTATAAATATTGATTTTTAAAATTTACTTATTATTATGAATATATCTATTTTATATATGAATTAATTTATTCTTCCCCAAATTATTTTTCTGCTCCAATTCCGTCACTTTGAAGGTGAAAAAATTTCACCGGTTGACGTGGCTGCGTATGAGTTCTGACCAAAACTGCCCGCTTCGCTTCCGCACAAAATCGATCAATCTTCCTTTTTAAGCGACTACTGCGCGTGTGGGGAAAAATGTCGATTTAAAATCGATCGTAGGCGGGTAATAAACAAATTTCTTGAGGGGTTTAAATTGGACTAGTCAGTAGCGTAAACGCTACAAACTTCATAATAAATAAATACCACATCCGTCAAAGCATCTTAAGCAATAGCATTATTGAAAGAAGACCTGAGCTAGAGAGCCGTGGCAAATCGACTTAAAAATAAAAGCAACATTATTATGTACTTTTATTAGGTACTTGACTGTCAAGTCCTGACCTGTGTCACTAGCCGTGTACAATTCAGGAATAGGTAAATATCATTTTTGAACTGCGGAATCCATCTGCACAAGCGTTCACGGTTGCCATGGCAACGTGACGTCAGCCTGTCGTTAGTGATAGCTGAGCAAACTGGGAAGTGCAGATCAATTGAAAAATAAACTATCCGTCTTCACCCACTAGTTTAATGTGTATGTAGTATTCCTATTTTTCGGAAATTTCTCTCAGCGACAATATTTTGAAATTTAGTCTATTATATAGATATTTTTTATATAGTATATTTTATATAGTATATTTATTAGTTTAGTTACAGTATTGTTTATTTATTTAGTGCATTTTATTAATACATTTTTCTGTGGTTTGTTTCGGATTTGGATATTAAGTGTTCTTTCTGTGGCGGTTGAATCAATAGTGGGCGACTGAATCGAAACTCAACAAACCCGTCTTATCAGCCGTGGTTTTTTAATCGCCAAAAAACCCTCAATGAAATGTCAAAGGTTCGGAATTAAAATACTCCAGGCAAGCAGAACGAATCGTTTAATCTAGTATAAGTGCCCTAAAAAACTGTTCTCAAGTTATTAGAGCCCTAAACTACATTTTTTTAACGAATTTTTAATGAGATTTGGGCGCGACGTAGGCACCAAAACTCCTTTTGCCTCCAGCAAGGTTTCCTCGTCTTGACCACTTTTTTAGGCCACGAGCCGCCGATGCATGGAAGCCAGTTTTATGTAACAGAAACCTTTCGATACATATTCGAAAGAAGCTCCTGAAGGGTTATGTGTGGTCTATCTTATTATATGGTTATGGACATAGACATTAAAAACTACACTGCTTAACAAATTAGAAGCACTCGAATTGTGGTGCTATTGACGGATCCTAAAATATCATGGGTTTCGCATACTTCATTGGAATATTCTTAAAATGATGAATTCAGAACGTTTGCTCACAGACATCACAAAGAGAAGAAAAATAGAATACTTCAGCCATAGAAGTAGAGGACCCAAATACCATTTACTTCGCCTTAAAATACAAGAAAAAGTATAAGAAAAGAGATGGATTGGTCGAAAGAAACTTTCATGGCTACGTAATGTTATACAATGGTGTGGTACCACACTAGAAGAATTCTTTCGCGCAACAGCCGATAGAGAACGGTTTCAGGAAATTGTAAACATGATGATGGCCAACTTCTGAATATTGACACGGCACCTAAAGAAGAAGAAGAAGATTTTCAAGTGTAGAATCTTCGCGAGATTTATTAAAATCAGGTGTTCATTATACCAACCTATAGTATCACATATTTTTACATATTTATCCAATGAATAGAGTTGAACTGGGTTGACATCTATTTTAGTAGGACATAATCAATGTTAAATACATCTTACATTCATAAAATAAACATAATATTACAACTTAGTACTTCTAAGTTGAGCTAAGCTGCTAAACATCTTAATTATTTCACATAATTTATCTATTCTAGGAATTGGTGGTAAAATTGCTACGCCGATAACGATTTCAGCAAACTCCAACAAAGGTTCCATAGACTTTGAAACAGAGATAGGTATTCCTTTGGTAAAATTGGAACGAATTTGGGCCTATTTAACAGTAAAACAATTAGCCGATCAATATCACGTAACAGGAAATACTACGCTTGCCACAATTGGCACAGAAATAGCTATGAACTATTCCTTGGTCACCGATTTTACTTCTTTGGTTGTGGTCAAACCAAATACGCCCGATGAAACTGTGAATATTGAAGATGCTTACCAGGGGATATTTCCGAGAAAGCCTAGTGAATTACCAATGTGTAATAATATTACAAGTACGTATATTTATAGATATAATATCACAGTTCTGCAAAAAAATATTTTTTAAAGGTTGTTTGAAATTTAATAACTGACGTTTATGTACGTTTTAGCACTGATTTCAAAACCATTTCTATCTATAACGTCAGGTTTTCTCACAAAGTAGGGAGTATGTTTACGTATAATAACAAAATGTAAGCAATTTTTCACCTCTTTCCAATGTTTTAAAATTTAGTTTATTAATTAAGTTCTAAACTACATTTCCAGTACACTTACATTTCGCTTAAGGTCGTAAGTCCATATGATAACGCTTTAGCTTTCTATTGAAGATTCTTTTACTGATTTTCCGCCTGTGATCTTGTGGATCATCTCTTTTCATCATCCAACAGTGGTCTGCTGTCATGCCTACGTTCTATCTTCCTTGTTATCTTCTTTCCATTTCTTTGAAGTCTTGGTGAAATCTTTTACCCTGCTCTTCACTGACATCATCAAGGTTTGTCGGGAAGTAGTCAAGATGTGAGTGGAGAAAGTGAAATTTCATAATGTTACAGCCCAGCTTCTTACAGAAGTCTATCATGCCTGTGATGATTGTCTTGTCGTTTGGATCTCTTTTGTTAACTAGGAAACCAGTAACAACTAATTTAAAAGATGTCCATGCTGCCTTAGCTTAAAAAGGTTTTTTAAAATTAAAAGGGAAAAAGTGTCAATAAAAATAAACATCTCACAACTGAGGAGCCCTGAAAAGAAAAAGGAAATAAGTATGAAGGTAGAGAAGGCAATAGAAATGGTAAAGACCTAGGTAAGACCAGAAATTCTATCAAAAATCCAATAAGCGAGGAAAACACTAACACTCATGAACATAAAAACATTTTTTTTAAGGTCAGACTTTAGTCTAGAGCTCAGAATTCGAATCATCAGATGTTAAGTTTTCTCTGTTTTGCTGTATCTCTGTAAAAGTTAGACAATGGATTCTGAAACAGAAAAAAAGAATAAATGCCTGTGAAATGTATATATAGTCAGATGCTGAGAATTCCATGGATACATAAGTTACCAATGGTAAGGTACTTCGGCGGATGAGTAAACAAAAAGAATTAATCAGGAATTAATCATTGTGTTTTCAAAGCTACAATTGCCATTTGGATCGCCAACCTTCGAAAAGAGATGGCGCAATAAGAAGAAGAATGCTGCTTTTTCATTTGTTTCCATTTTCTCCACAAAGTTGAGATCTGTCATTCCTTTATCTTAACCGTGGATAAACCAAAAAACTGTCCACACAGATATCTGAAATATTTCCTTCTTTAGTCAATGCCTTGACAAATTGCTTCATCAGTTCCAACTAAATGTAAAGTCATAGAAGTAACACCTTTTTGGAATCCACAACAATCCAATTTTTCTTCTCAACATTTTTAACCCCTATTTGTAAGCTTTCTCTTAAGGACCAAGCTTTTTTTATGTAGTGTTGCTTTCTGTTTCTACTGTCCTATTCATAGAGAAAGCACGCGTTTTAAATCACCACATAGTGTTCATTTGTGGTCGGAATAGCAGAGTTTGCTTAAAATCAATTTAAGATTTTCGTAACATTCAAGTGAACCGAGTGTCCAACTGGTATAGAAGCATATGTTGCCATTGTGGAGAAGAATTGCCATAACTCTTTAGTATCAGAAGAATCAATAAAAAGTCTTTACTCATTAGGAGCATATTTTTTAAAAAATACCAGGTCATCTTCTTGGGAAAAGAAAGATACAAATTCTTTTTCCTACATCGATGACAAGAAAAGAATGTATTTGGAGCTATCATATGGTAATTTTTTAATATAGATTCTAAAACTTCTGCCGATTCTTTAGAAAGATCTGGGTTTCCTATTAAATCGTTCTAATTGTGAGAATGGAATGATTTTGGTTGCGTCAGGATCGTGGCAATCACTGCCTTCTTCACTATCACCTTGCTGATCCAATGGCTCGTGATCATCATATATATCATTTAAAGAATCTGTAAGAAATACTTATTTTGTTTCTTAAACTGAAACCTTGTACGTTGCAAGAAAGAAAATAGCAGTCATCAATATGATTTTTGGGCTTCCTCTAAACCATTGGTATTCCAAAACGCAAGAACTGCTTTTTACTTTGAAATCATTGACTCACCTCTTCATTACTGTTGAGAATGTAATACATTTATATTGTATACACAGATATATTGGTGTAAGAGTAAGCGGAACGCACCCATAGTGTCATGGGTTGACATGACAGACAATAATAGTAATGTCAATGAGTATCATGTAGTTGTAGGTGGTAGTAAGAAGTATGGTGGCTTAAGTTAGGTTAGTTAATTAGTATGTATGTTATAGGAAATAAAGCCTTTTATAATAGTAGTAAAGTACGACTATTTATTTTCCAAATCCACACCTTAACATGGTAGCAGAGGTCCGTGGTTGGAAAGTCGTACCTTTTACAACAGAAAAAGTTTGGTGCAGTTTGAAAAAAAGTGTGACACATGATGGCAGGTAGTAGTGATTTTAGAATACCTATATTCGATGGGGAGAATTATAAAATGTGGAAAAAACGTCTTATGCTATTTTTGAAAATGAAGAAGTGTGATGTTGTGGTAACCAGACCGAAAAATGAAAATGATGATACAAATTGGGATGACGATGATGTAAAAGCAATGAATTATATATGCGGTGCAATATCGGATCGACAGATGGAGTACATCGACGAAAAAACTACGGCGTATGAGATGATAAAGAAATTTGATAATTTATATTTGAAAGAATCAACGGCATTGCAGATAGTATGTAGAAATAACTTGGAAAGATTAAAATTGAACAACTATGGAGACTGTGCAACATTTTTTAGTGACTTCGAAAAAGCTATAAACGAGTTAAAAAGCGCGGGTGCTAGTGTGTCTGAAAAGGAAAAATTGAACTATATGTTAAACACGTTGCCAGAGTCGTACAGTTATATTGGTGATTTAATAGATACATTAAAAGAAGATGATCAAACTGCAGACTACGTAAAAACTAAGGTTATGATGTCCGAATTAAAAAATCAAAACAATGATTTTGGAAGAAAATCCAGTACATTTGTGGTAAATAAAGGTCGACAGGATCGATCATGCTTCCAGTGTGGCGAAGTTGGTCATTTCAAGCGAGATTGCAAAAATGGCGCCAATCAAGCGTCGGGTAATGGCGGACAAACGACAAGCAGTAGAGGCTGGTGGAGAGAAACGCGAGGTCGACAAGAAGCCGGAAGAGGAAGCTACGTCAGAGGACGTGGCCACTCACGTGGACAGCGCGGAACGCATGGAACAAGTGCACAGCGGTTCAACCGACAAGGACAGAAGAACGAAGAGCGAAACAGTGCTTCTTGGCTTACAACAGTAGCTCTTGGTAAGGATATGTCAGTTATTGCACAAAATACTGAAATAGGTAATGTAAATAATTGTATTGAAATAAAATGGCTTTTAGATAGTGGTTGTACAGACCACATTATTAATGATGAAAAATTATTTGATAAATGTAAATTACTTAAAGATCCCATTAATGTTTATTTAGGAGATAATAGGGTTGTAAAAGCTACTAAAATTGGAAATGTTTTAAGTTACTTTGATGCTTTTGGTAAAAAGAGTTTAGTAGATATGCAAAATGTTTTCTATGTTAAAGATATGAAATCAAATTTGATAAGTTATAGCAAAATAACAGAAAATAATAAGATTATTTCTCTAGGTAATATTTCAAAAGTTTTTGATAAACTTGGTAATATAACAGCAGTTGCTTTAAAAAATAATGGCTTATATATTATGAAAAGTAAATTAAAATCAGTTGAATTGCATGTAAATGTTGCAAATAAAGATATGAATAATATGAATCAAAAGGAAAAATGGCATCGTTTATTAGGTCATGTAAATTTTAAATATTTGAATATTTTATCTAAAGATCAGCTGTTGAATGGAATTCCTAATGAGTTTGAATCTGAATTTATGAAATGTAAGATTTGTATTGAAAGTAAAATGCATAATATTCCGTTTGTAAACAGTAGAAAAAAAGCTAAAGATATTTTAGAGATTGTACATACTGATGTTTGTGGGCCTTTTCGAACTACTGGGTTTAAAGGTGAAAATTATTTTGTTTCTTTCATTGATGATTATAGTAAGATTTCTAAAGTATATGCTATAAAATCAAAAGCAGAAGTATGTGATTGTTTGAATGAATATACGAATGAAAGTGAAAATTTGACTGGAAAGAAAATAAAGATTTTAAGATGTGATAATGGGAAAGAATATTTGAACAGTAAAGTCTACAGATTTGCAAAAGAAAGGGGTATAGTAATTGATAATTGTCCTACATATGTACATGAATTGAATGGGACTGCAGAACGGTTTAATCGAACTATAATGGATATGTCAAGATGTTTGTTGGCTGAAGCAGATATTCATAAAAAATATTGGCCTGAAATAGTTTGTGCTGCGGTTTATTTGAAAAATCGTACTTTATCTGATACAATTGAAAAGAAAACTCCATATGAAATATTTTTTGGACAGAAACCTGATGTTTCTAATTTGCGTTTGTATGGAAGTAAAGTTTTTGTACGAAGACCAGAACAGAAGAGAATCTCTAAATGGGATAAGAAAGCTGATATGGGAATTTTAATTGGTTATAGTAATGTTGGTTATCGTGTATTATTAAATGGCAGAGTCATTGTTGCTAGACACGTGGATATTGTTGAAGAAAACGTTAAGTGTATAGGTTTAGACTTTAACGAATCAGATAATGATAATAATGAAGAGTGTTACCCTGATAAAATTGATGAAAGCTCTGAAAATGACTCAATAGATGAAACTTTTGAAAGTACAAATGAAAGTATGGATGATAGTGTGAATAAAAATGAACCTGAGTTACCTAGATCTCACAGAGCCAAAAATCCTCCAAAGAAATTTGATGACTACTATGTATATAATAGTAGTATTTTTGTAAATATGTGTAGAACTGATATACCACATACATTTGAGGAGGCGATAAATTCTAATGAAAGTAAGTATTGGAAAACAGCTATGGACAAAGAAATTGATAGTTTAAATAAAAGTAAAACTTGGAAATTGGTTAAAAATGATACAAACAAAAATATTCTGGATGTTAAATGGGTTTATACTAAAAAGTCTGATAATACTTATAAAGCTAGATTGGTTGTACGAGGTTTTCAACAAACTGATGAAATTGATGATATTTATTCACCTGTGGCTAAAATGCAAACATTAAAGATTTTATTGTCATATTGTTGTCAAATGGGCCTAGTAATTGAACAAATGGATGTTGAAACAGCCTTTTTAAATGGTAAAGTAATTTCTGAAGTTTATATTAAACAACCTAAGGGTTATGAAGATGGAACAAGTAAAGTTTGTAAATTAGTTAAAGCTTTATATGGTTTAAAAGAAAGTCCAAGGGCATGGTATGAGTGCCTAGATACATTTTTGATAAATTTAGGTTTTGAAAGAAGTAATATTGATCCTTGTTTGTACGTTTATAAAATTGGAAATGATATTATTTACTTATTAATTTATGTCGATGATTTATTGATTTGTGGTAGAAATTTAAATGAAATTAAAAGGATTAAAATTTTATTATCAGAAAAATTTAAAATGAAAGATATTGGTGAAATTAAAGAATATCTTGGTATTACTGTTGATTATGATTCTAGTAAACATGAAATGAGATTGGATCAAAATAAATATATTGAATTATTAAGGAAAAAATATAATTTAGAAAAAGGTAAACTGTATAATACACCTATGGAAGTAAATTTAAAAATTGATAAATCTGATCATTGTGAAAGAAATATTAAATATAAAAATTTAATTGGTGCACTATTATACATAAGTTCGGCAACAAGGCCTGATATAAGTTTCAGCGTAAATTATCTGAGTAGATTTCAAAATTGCTATAATGAAACGCACTTTAAATATGCTGTACGAATTTTGAAATATTTATGCTTAACTAAAGATTTAAAATTGTTTTATAACAGAAATGAAAAAGTAAGTATTATTGATTGTTATGTGGATGCCGATTGGGCAGGTGATCATTTAGATAGAAAATCTACAACTGGTTTTGTAATAAGATTGTTTGGTAATGTAATTTATTGGAAATCTAGAAAACAAAAAAGCGTTACAAAAGCTTCAACTTTTGCAGAGTATGTAGCATTGTCAGAAGCAGTAAGTGAATTGATATTTGTAAAAGAATTGTTGAAAATATTTGATATTGAAATAATAAAGCCAATTGATGTTTATGAAGATAATACTGGTACAATTAGTATAGCTAATTATGGCAATTTTACAAAAAATTCTAAGCATGTTGAAATTCATTATCATTATGTAAATGATTATGTTAAAGCAAATGTTATAAATGTGGTTAAAGTAGATTCTGATGATAATATTGCAGATATTTTTACGAAGTCCTTGGGCCAAGATAAATTTGAAAAATTTCGAAGTATGTTAAATTTGAATTAATGTAAATACAATGTAAATGTAAGGAGGCGTGTTGAGAATGTAATACATTTATATTGTATACACAGATATATTGGTGTAAGAGTAAGCGGAACGCACCCATAGTGTCATGGGTTGACATGACAGACAATAATAGTAATGTCAATGAGTATCATGTAGTTGTAGGTGGTAGTAAGAAGTATGGTGGCTTAAGTTAGGTTAGTTAATTAGTATGTATGTTATAGGAAATAAAGCCTTTTATAATAGTAGTAAAGTACGACTATTTATTTTCCAAATCCACACCTTAACAATTACATACACCAAACTTTGTATGGAGCCCAAGGCCTATATTTATCGCCTAACTTCATACCAAAATAGGCCAAATATTCTTTTTAAACGAAATCCGAAACGTTTCTTTGTTGGTTTTTAACGGTATAGTTACCGTAAATGTAACAGAAGCAATCTGGCGAGTTTATACATCCTCTGGTAGCCATTAGCCACTAAATTTAAACCGCTACTAAGTAACCGCAATCTTTTTTTCAATCACCGCTACAGGATGGTGAAATGAGTTGTATGGTCCATATTGTTCTGGTATTGGCATGGAGACATGGACGTTAAAAATATCCTTCAATAACAAGTTAGAGGCCTTTGAAATGTGGACCTTGCGAAGAATGTTCCGCATACCATTGACAGATATGGTGAGAAACGAGGAAGTCTTAAGAAGGGTAAATACACTGAGAGAGAATTACTCAACTTAATCAAGATACGAAACATTGGATATCTGGCCGTATCCTGGAGGAAAAAATATGCAATCCATCAACTTATTATCCAAGGAAAAATTGAGGGTAAGAGAAGAGTTGGTTGCAAACAAATGTGGTTACGAAATATAAAGAACTGGATAGGCATAAATAACACTGTCGAGCTTTTACATGCCGCAAATGGTAGACGTCTGGAAAGATAATTCGCCAAGGCACTCTAGATGCACGGCACTATAAGAAGAGAAGATAACCATTGTCCAATGTCTTTACGACAGAAGAAAACAGTGACTACTTTAAAGCACTACTAACCATGACTGACACAGTTCAACACCGAAAAATGATATTCTAACAAAAGCCCAAATAGATGATAAAGACCGGCGTATAATACAAAATTTCTACTGGCACCAATGAGCAACAATAAGAACAAATCTTGGAGATAAAGGATAAACTAAACACTAAACTAATAAATAACTAAATCTAAATATTTAGTGAAGCCTTGGAAAATTGCGAACATTGAATCCTTTTAAATGGAGAACGCCTAAACAATATCCGCTATGCAGATAACATCGTTATTTTTGCACAGTTTACAGCAACTAATAAACAAAGTTTATGAAGTAAATGAAAGATTTGGACTACAAGTAAACATATTAAAAACTAAATTTATGGTCCACTAGGAAACTAAGTTCCTGTAGCTGGCTGTATACCATGTATCGCAAATTTTTTTGATTTAAAATCCTTTATAAAAGGTATATAATAAAATACCCAAACGGTCTATATCACAATTACAAAACGTTTTCGAAATCTATATTCCATCATTAGTGTAACTAAGTATACATGTTTTGAGTCACTAAAATATTTGGGTTAAAACCCGTTAAATGTTGTTAGTTTAAATTTCTGTTACATTTCATCAGTTGCTATCAAGAAGTCCTCGTAGACACTTTGTCTCAGGACCAATTAACCTCATGTAGAGTCGTACGTTGCCATGTTAGTAATTCCACTGGTAACTTAAACATCTCAACTTTTAAGAACATGTGATGTTCTTAAATAAAGTAGCGGTTTAAATTTGATAAAAGCTTGTCTTGCTTGTTCGGTACGGCATTTTATTTCTTGTTGAGGATCCCATTGGTCATTCATCATCATTCATAAGTATTTAAATGTTTCCATTTGATTGATTGGAGCACCATCTACTTGCAGTTGTATTCTTAAAAGTGCGTTTTTTCTTATTGCAATGCATTTAGTTTTGCCAGCATTTATCTTCAAGTCATATATTTTTCCTACTGTGTTTATTTTATTTAACATTAACTGCATATCATGTTCGTTATCTGTTATTTTTGTCTCTTTTCTTGACTTTTTTTACTAGTTTTCGCAAAATCCGCGTTGAAACAGTATGAAAATCAATTTTTAAGTGATTAAGAAAACTGTAAACAATTTTTTGGTCGCAGACCTGAGTAATCATTTTAATATATAAGAATGTATACCATTTGATTATCTTGATATTTAACGGGCAAGAATCTTGAAATAAATATGTTAACATTAAAATAGCTTATATTTTTTACTGGCACCTAGTCAGTTTTATACGATTTCGATATTCAACTGAAGATACCAGTAGGACTAGATTCCATACTAGTCCTTGTTTCGAGTAGGGTTTAGTATGTTTCCCTAAAGCGAAATATTTTAACATCGACCTTATGTCGCTTTAATTTTAATTTTTAATAGGTATATTTAATATCTAATCTAAAGGTTATTACAACTTTTAAGTGGCTAGTTTCAATTACTGGTTATGTATTCACTGATGATGATCTGATAAGGTCGAAGAAGTTATAAAATTTTAATCCGTTTACAAAATTTCAATTTTCGATAAAAATAATTTGTAAATAGATACTATTTTAGTACTTTTTATTTATTGTAAATTTTTTTTAACTAGGGTCTAAGGTCAACCACTAAGATTATTCCCTTTAATTAGTACATTAATTTTTCATTTACAGGCTACATTATGGAAGAATTTAGTACAACAGAACCAGAACCACAAACAATAGGGACTACGTTTAATCCAGATGTTATACTTGAGTTTGATAATGGTCTTGAAGTTGAAGAAACTACTACAGAAGCAATAACCACGACTATGATTACGACGACCCCTACTACAACCATTACCACAACGCCAACTCCAACAACTACTCGAGAACTGACCTGTCATGAATCCACATATGGTTGCTGCCACGACGGCGTAACATTTGCGCTTAGACCTGATGCTGATGGATGTGACCCTATTCCTAAAGCTGGTAATATTTTCTTTTTACACGCCACTGCTTTTAATTTTTCAAGTAGGACATCGATTTTTTCTTTTACTTTTCTTTGTTTAACCAATCTCATCAACTTATATTTTCCTTTTCTTAGTATGTGACCAGTAGTAGCTCATTTTTCTTTCGTTCATAGTGTTGACTATTTTTTTTTCTTTTTTATTTTTCTCAATATTTTCTTGTTTGATATGTGTTGTGAGCATGATATTTTTCACATTCTTCGATAACACCACATCTCAAAGCTGACAAGTCTTTTTTCAGTTGCGTTTGTAGTTGTCCAGGCTTCAACTTGATATAAAAGAGCAGAAAATCTTAACATCTTAATACTCTAGTTCTTTTTTCTATTCCCAGTTTTCATTTAGCTTACATCAAAAGTAATTTTATTTACCTTTTACTTTAACGTAGATTGTTTCGACTTCAATCTTGTTTTTACCGACAATGATTTTTGTTTTTTATTCTGTTTGGAACCATTCCGTATCTTTCGCAGTTCTGCATAGTGCAATCAATCAAAATTTGCTCTTCTCTGCTGTCCGCAAGGAGTGTTGCATCGTCTGCATATCTCAGATTATTCAATAGTGTTTGCTTGATTGGTATACCTTCATTGATGTCTTCTAGTACCTCTTTAAGCCATTTGTTCCCATGAATTTTTTTTCTAAATAATATTGATTTGATGCATATTTTTGCTTGTTATATATCACTGTAACCTGTAAATAGATTTATATGAAGAGGTAAAAAGAAATAAAATAAGACTTACAATAAATTTAATTTTACCACCAAAACGACCGGTTTCGCACAAAAGGTAAATTAAATATTGAAATTACAAAAATCCATATCAGGGTGCTGTCTTATAAAGATAACAATTACATCAATTATGCCAATATTATATGTCTGTGATTATTATTATAAATAAAATTGATGAAGCAGATAAAGTAAAAACTCACATATTGGTATAATATAATCTAATGAATTGAAATAAATTAGTAAATAACCAAAATACTACTTACATGCCGGTAAAAGAATTATTAATTAGTGATTTTGAATACATAATTCAAACTATCCTGGATTGCTGGTGATGGATAACCATCGGTTTTATTGTATCTGTCCCTCAAGAACTTCCCCGCTAATTGTCAAACAGTTACAATAAAAACAAATGATCACCCATCACCAGCAATCCAGGATAGTTTGAACTATGTTTTCCAAAGGAATATAAGTAGTATTTTGATTATTTACTATTATAATTATAATAAATTATGATTATAATTTATTTCAATTCAATAGATTATCTTATACCAATTTGTGGGTTTTTACTTTGTCTGCTTCATCAATTTTATTCATATTAATAATCACAGACATATAATGTTGGCATAATTGCTGTAATTGTTATCTTTATACCACAGCACACTAATGTGAGTTTTTGTAATTTCAGCATTTAATTTACCTTGTATCGTTAGACCTGAAGATGCTTAGCAAATTGTAGTAAGCGAAACCGGTCGTTTTGGTGGTAATTTTTTTGGTGGTAATAACATATTCATGATTAGATTTATATGAATTTGACATAATGGAAATTTGACTTTTGAATATGTACTCATATGGGTACAACGAGAACTTGGTGACATTTAAAAATTAGATACATTTGCAAATATAATGTGGCTTGGCATCTGATGCAAATCCATCTTGCACGAAGATGACATATTCTGCATCTTAGTTGTTTATCAATTTATTTTCTGAAGATAATGACCACTTGTATTTTTACGAATACTAATTGACACGACCGGTGGATGCCTGGAATGCGAAGCTTTATCAAATACTCGCATATAATGTCTACAGATGATTTTAACAAAATTTACCAGGTCAATTTTGTTACCTGCAAGTAAATACAATCTCCGGGCATTCACCACTAAAGCATTGATCATATGTGTAAGTAGAGGCCACCACCATTTTTTCCTTGAACAGGAATTCTATAATTATTTACTGACTGAGTCAATAAATGAATATCTCCCATAGCCGAATTATAATTAGCAAAGACCAAAGGTTGTGGCACATTTATTTTGTTTTGTTCAAGTTTAGACCAACGTCTGACACTAGAAAGTGGGCATATAATATGTCATCGTAATAACTCATCATAATCACAATGCTATTATCCTTCCACCTAACTACAAGTAGTAAATTTTTTTTGTCATATTTGTATTGAAAAAAACCAAGCTCACTTTTGTTCATTTCCTTAGCGCTTAGTAAAGGACATTTTTTAGTCCGATTCTCTCGAACGGTTCCAGTTGCTCTAAACCTATTTTTGACAGCGGTCAAAACAGCATGACTAGTGAAATAATTATCAAAATATATGGTATTATCTTTTGGATTCTCAATCACTTGTAATAACTCCAAAACAGTTCTAGAACCCAACGGTAGATTACTATTTTCCAGTGTCTGATTAGTTCTTTGTTTTGCTTCATAGTAGGTGTCGAATTGGTAGCAATAGCCAGTCGAATTACAAATCATCCAATCTTTGTAGCCAAAGCGGACTGACTTTCCACGAATAAACTGTTTGGAGGAATAATGTCCAAAATATTTTACCATTGCTTCATCTATTGACAGGTCTTTGTGAAATACTCCCCACTGTAAAATGTTTTTGTTCAGGTTTTCTATTAGTGGTCGTAATTTACCCATTTTATCATTTTTGTTATATACGTCTATCCTCTATCCCATATCCTCTATCATTGAGGATAGAGTTCAAATTATGAACACGATAGAGAGTTTTTATAGACAACTATACAAAGAACAGCAGAGTGGATCATTACCAAAGATAATCAATCAGGGATCTAAAATTTTACCGGACGTAACACCCAATGAAGTTCGAAGGTGATGAAATAGTGGCAGATGCCTTGAAAGTGGCTGGAAAAAGATTATGGCAGGTCCTTGCCAAACTATTCACTAGATGTTTGCAGGAAGCAATAACACCAACCCAGTGGTATAACGCAGAAATTATCATACTTCGTAAAAAAGGGATGCTACCGACCGCAGAAATTACAGGCCCATAAGTCTACTTTCACATATTTATAAACTATTTATAAAAATAATTACGAAACGACTAGAAAATAAATTGGAATTTTATCAGCCCATAGAACAGGCGGGTTTTAGAAAAGGCTATGGAACAAACGATCACCTACTGGTAATAAAAAATCTTATAGAAAAATGCACTAAATATAATAAACCACTAGCTTTAATACTTGTCGACTATAAAAAGGCATTGGACACTGTCAATCAACAAAAGATGTTGGAAGCCTTGACAGAATGCCGAATTGACTATCGGTATATAAATATAATTAAACACGTACACCAAAACGCAACAGCCAGTGTTACAGTGGGTGATCGTCAAACCCAGAAATTACCGATACAACGTGGAGTATGCCAGGTGGACACCATATCGCCGAAACTTTTCACTATGCTTTTGGAATATATATGTAAAAGGGCAAAACTGACCGACAAGGTCATAAACATAAACGGAGAAAAGCTTAGCCATCTAAGGTTTGCAGATGATATTGAACTAATAGCTGATAGGATAGATGAGGCCAAAGAACTTTTAAATCAGCTCTACCTTTCCTCGCTAGAAGGGGGATTGAAAATAAATATATCTGAAACCCAGATGATGACAAATCTTGTAGTCAGCGAAGATATATGCGTAGGAACAAGATCCATAGACCAGGTAATGGCCTATAAATACCTAGGTCATGAGATCCGCATAGGAAAAGATAACCAAACCGTTGAGCTTCTCCGTCGTATAAGACTGACTTGGGCAGCTATCGTCAAGCTGAACCATATTTTCAAATCGTCTGATATACCAATATGCCTTAAAAGAAAAACCTTTAATCAGTGTGTTTTGCCAGTATTGACTTACGGTGCGGAAACGTTGACCATGACAAGGAGAACAGTTCAAAAGATTTGCAGTAAAAGATGATGCAGTAGAGAGAGTAGCAACACTGAAATGGAACTGGGCAGGTCACGTGGCTCGAATAATAGATAATAGATGGACAAAGCGGATACTGAAATGGAGACCAAGAGATGATGCCTACACAAGCAGAGGTCGTCCACCAACACGTTGGACTGACGATCTAAAACGTTGTCATAGGAATTGGATGCAAGAGGCACAAGATCGAAATAGATGGAAAATTATGAGAGAGATCTATCTCCAACAGTGGATAAGCGAAGATTGAATGATGATGATGATGATGATGATGATGATGATGATGATGATATACGAGCAAAACAAAAACATCTACGAGAACGCTACATCAAGTATACGACTACACGATTTCGCAGAAAAATTCAGCTTAGGTCGAGGACTTAGACAAGGAGACAATATTTCACCAAATTGTTCACGGCAGCTCTAGAGTCAATATTTAAGAACACTCAATGACAAGATATGGGCATTAATATAGATGGAGAAAGATTAAATTATCTAAGGTTTGCAGATGATGTTGTACTAATCGCAGATAACTTACAGGATACAGTTTCTATGATACATTCGCTTAAAAGTCTGTCTGAAAGAGCAGGATTAAAGATAAATTTTGAGAAAACTAAACTTATGATAAATCTCGTAATGAGTGGAAATAGAACTATTGACAATAATACCATACAACAAACAGACACTTACAAATATCTGGGACACGAGATCAAAATCAGCAGAGACAATCCAACACATGAAATACAAAGGCGAATAGGCCTGACATGGGCAGCATTTAGCAAATTAAGCCATATTCAAAAAAGTTCAATTCCCATGTGTCTCCAGCGAAAGATTTATAACCAATGTGTTTTGCCTGTACAAACTTATGGAGCAGAGACTTTAACACTAACGCAAAAATCTGCGAATAAACTCAGAGTTATACAACTGGCCATGGAACGTGCAATGCTGAACACGTATTCGAGAACACATAACAAACCAACAAATCAGGCAAAGATCAGGAGTTCAAGACGCCATCGAAAGAACCACGACGCTTAAGTGGAACTGGGCAGGGCACTTAGCCAGAACACAAGATGGACGGTGGACAAAACGTATTATGGAATGAAGGCCCAGAAACCAATTATATAAAACCTGTAGCGGGAAACTGGCTACAAGCGTCCCAGTGTAGAGAACACTGGAATGAATTGAGGGAGGCCTATGTCCAGCAGTGGACGCGATTGGCTGATCGATGATGATGATAATTTTTGTTCAACATTTCATTGTTGGCCAAATAAAAATATTTTTTTTTATATCATACTTAATACCTGTTACGAGATATACAGTTCTTGACCAGTAGATTAATTAGATCTTCATCTACAGACCAATATGATTTTTTTCTTGGAAATCGGTGATAACCAGTAAAGAGTAGAAATCCTAAAAATGTGTAAAAATCACTGAAATTATGATTATTAAATGGTACGGTCATGTTTAAAGAATGCTAGGCCATAGGTGACCAAAAAGAATAATGGAATAAAAACCTTTAGGAAGAAGACAGAGAGAACCATATGTAAACATTCGATGATGGACAAATACCTCATAGAAGGTCATTCAGAGGATAGAAATCTGTGAGGGATTAAAACAGAGAACTCATAATGGGAAAATGAGAAAGAAGGAGAAGAAATCTTTCAAATCCCTAGATATTATTTTAAGAAGAATCGGTTTATTCTATTACTCCACTCTTCATTACTTCACTAGACCCTATTCTATTACTCCACTTAGATCAATCCGTCATGTAACTCTAGCATATAACTACTGTCTAACTGAAAGAAAGTAGTGTGGAGGACTATATATTGTTGGATATAAATAAGATATTTTGTAAAATCATAGTGTGCGCCGCATTGATTTGATTTTCCAAACGAGTATTTCAGATATATTAGATAGTGTGTATGATCTTCCCAAAAAAATCGTAGATTTTCATCGCTCAAGTAGCGACAATTTTACGTGTGAAATGTCTATAATTAAAAAACATACATTTATCAGTAACATTTTATTTTATAAAATCCAATATTGTTTTACAAAATCAATCAATCAATCTTTCTTTCGAAATTGTCGTCAAAAAGTTGTGAAGAATTTGCAAAACAAAAACTCAGGAATGCTATACCTGCTTTCTTTTTTCTACGTTATACAACCTGTATTACTACCATACATGTACTATTTTATGTAAATTATATTCTTCCTACTAATTTTTAACTAAATATTACGTTTTTTTTTTAATATTTTGTTTAATATTAGAATTCAATACACTTTAAAATTTACCGCTTTGTTACAAAATATTAATTAAATTCATTAAAATCACATAATATTTCCAGGCGTTTCTGATATGTAAAGTTGTTGAAAGTTTTCGCCAGATTTCTAGCGAACTACTGAAAAGAAAAGTCAAATAATAATAGTTTTGAAAAAGTTATTTAAGGGCCCTTCTTCTTCTTCTGGTCCCTATCCGTTTCGGATGTTGGAAATCATATTGGCAATCATAACCTTGCTCGCTGCGGCTCGAAACAGCTACGTTGAGGTTTTCTTAAACCATGTTCTCAAATTCCGCAGCCATGATATTCTCCTTCTACCGGGTCCTCGCTTACCTTTGACTTTACCTTGCAATATAGACTGTAGCAGAGAGTAACGGTGCTGATTTCTCATAATGTGTCCCAGATATTGCAATTTTATGCGTTTGATCGTAAACACAATCTCTGGTTCCTTCTTCAATTTTCACTCAACCCCACTGTTTATTTATGTTTTTCCTTTCCTGTTTTTCTTTCCTGGTAATCGAGCTAAGTGCCCATCTAGCCAGCAGCAAATGTGTAATAACGTTCATTTAATAACCTAATCTAACTAAACTAAATACACTATAATTCTGGATATTAAAAGAAGAACTACAATGGGAGAGGAACTAGGATTACTTTTCGCACCTAGGGGTCATTCAAGCTGACTCACACACAGAAAGTGTAGACCACGGAAAGTATAGGTAAAAAGGTAAAATACTTTGGAGTATATTGGAGGAGAAAATACTCCATAATGGAGGAGAAGGTTTTTTTGACCAGTACGTGTTAGTTAAATCGTGGTTATTTAATAAGGCTATTTTATCTAACAGAGTTCGGTTTTTAAAAAAAGACTTTATATAAATATATATATATATATATATATATATATATATATATATATATATATATATATATAAATATAAATATATAAAAAAAATTATAAATTTTTCTGCTAGCCATTCCCTCCGCAAAAATAATGGTGGTTCTAGTGCTTTAATTCGAAGAGATTCCACAGGCGTTGAACACATTGCACCCAAACACAGTCTTAGGGAAATATTTTGAATTATTTCCAGTCATTTTAGAATGTACGGACTGGCTAATCCATATAACGTACATCCGTAATCCAAGATGGACCTAATAAAGGCTTTGTAAAAAGTTAAACAGGATTGTGGATCTGGCCCACACCAGTTTTTCTTATGAATTTTAAAAAATGTATGCCTTTTTGACATTTTGATTCTATTTTGTATAAATGGTGTCCAGCTAAGCTTCTTGTCAAGAATAATTCCAAGATAAGTTACCTTATTTGATACTGGATATAAGGTACCATTTACATTTATGTTATTAATACTGGTTCTTGTAAAGATGGTAGGTAACACTAGATTTTTGAGGGGTTAAAGAAAAACCTAACGATTCAAATTTCAAAGTAGTTAGTTGTAGACGTGACGTGAGCTCAGTTATGCCTACTTTTGTAAACCCTTTTGAGCCTGAGACACCTGCCTGAAACAATTTTTCTCTCTTCTTAATGATATTAACTGCATCGTAGGCATCTTTTATATCGAGAAATGCAGCACCTAGGTAATAGTTATTTGAAAAACGTAACTGAATGTCTGTTGTTAAATAATAAACTGCGTCAATAGTACTAAACCCTTTTTTTAAACAAATTGTTCCAACGGAAAAAAGGCAGTATTAGTCAAATGAAATTCTAACCGGTGTTTAATAATCCCAAAAGTTTTTATTACACAGGACAACAAGGAAATAGGCCGATAAGATTCTGCAAGTTTGTGATTTTTGTGTGGTTTGGGGATTGGTACAACTAAAAAAAATTTCCACTCCTCAATGACAGCTTTATATAACCAAATATCGTTAAAAATTTCTAAAAGAAATAATTTACCGACAGTTGGTAAATTCCATAACATATCGTATGCACGTTACAAAGTTAATGTAATTTAATTGAAAACTGGCATACAAAATGTCTCGTTAAAAATAAATTAGATATGTTTTTACTTATTTTTAAATTCAATTTTTCTAATTAACCTCCTGTATATATAAACACCCTTTCTAATATCCACCCTTTTTATAGAAAGTTGCTCGTTACCTCAAGATAGTGGAAACTGTGCTAACTCTACCGTTAAATGGTTTTATAGCACTGTTAGACATCAATGTAAACAGTTCAGATATGGCGGATGTGGCGGAAACGACAATAGGTTTGCAAGTAAACAAACATGTGAAGAAACTTGCGTGAATCCAACTGGTCAAGGTAAGCTTTATTCACCAAGCAATTTAGTAAAATCTAGTAAAACATTAATATAAAATTTTATGTAATCTATTATAATGATGGGTTAGCAAAATAGCGACAAAATAAAATGACATTATATATGATATTATAATCTAAACGCTATATAGTGGATTAAAGGAAATCGGGAAATAATGAATTGGCTGATGTAGGTATGTTACTTTCAAAATTGTGTCAATAGATCATGGTCATTATAAATAATAGTATAATAATAAAATTATAACAGCAGCATCCAAACAAACAAAAATTATTAGAAATAAAAAGATTATATTAAAGATAAAGAAAAGAATACATACAAAAATTATTCGAAAATACAGCAATAATACCGACTAAAAATCCCTACGGGCCAAAAATAACAAACAATTCCCCAAAGATGGGAAATCACCAGGACCCGATGAAGTACATGGTAAAATTTTATAGCTACTTGGTGTGATTTTGTTTCGGGATATCTGTGCCTTTTCAATCGTATACATGGAGAAGCCATTTTTTCTTAGAGCTGTTTTGACTTTTTGCATTTCTTCGTTCCTATGTTTGTTATCTGCCAGTTTCTCAGATCTTGTTATTAGGGTTTTTATTACCGAATTTAATTTTGCAGGATGATGGTGTGAGTCTGCGTGTAAGTACCTGTCAGTATGGGTTGGTTTTCGGTATACTGTGTGTCCTATGCTTCCGTCTTCTTTCTTAATAACTAACATATCTAGAAATGGAAGGTATTATTCTCATGTTCCATGGTATACTGTATTTTTGGATGGATATTAACAGGTATATATATATATATATATATTATATATATATATATATATATACATATACATATATATATATATATATATATATATATATATATATATACATATACATATATATATATATATATATATATATATATATATATATATATATATATATATATATATGTATATATTGTATACAATATTGTTGCTAGAGCGATCACAAATATTGAAAATTAAGTTATTAGTAAGTAAATTGTGCATTACTAGGAAATTTTGGGATGTGAAGACACGAAATATACCGAAAATTCAGACTTGGGAAAGTGATATCAAAAGAGTGAAAGACTGATTGAATTCTGTCAAGAAATCAATCTTGTTATTAAAAATATTTGGTTTAAACTAAAGATGTCTGTACACTTAGATATCATATCTTAATCGACACCAAAGTAGAATACTATGGAATCACATTCTTATCAATCTCAGTTTTCTAACCAATCTAAAACCTCATTCCCAGGAATATCATCTGGTCCAACCGCCTTATCTTTCTTTATTTTTTTTTTTAAATAAAATAAAAACAAAATCTAATATCAGAGGTGAAACAGACAATTAAAAACTTAAAAAGTGGTAAAGCGCCAGATCCTGATGAAATTCCAGTAGAAATATTGAAAATCCTAAATGACGAAAATATTGAGTATCTAACGAAATTATTTAATAAAATATACCTTTTATAAATATATATAAATTTTATATACCTTTTATATAAAATATATCTTTTTACCCTTAGACAAAAAAAAATCCTAAATCTTACGAAGAATACCGCTTAATTAGCCTTATGAGCCACACTTTAAATATACTGATCAAAGTTATTCAACAGAGTATATATAAATGGAGTAGAAGCGTGGATATTAAAGTTATGGAGATACAGAACGATCCTGAGGACACCATGTACATACAGACATAGTCGCCAATAAAGAAGTACTGCGGAAGATGAACACAACCGCGGATTTGGTCAACATCTTGAAGGGACGTAAACGACTTTGTTACTTGGGACATATACCTAATGAGAAATTAAACAAATACGAGCTACTTCAATGCAAAGCATTTTGCAAGGTAAAGTTTAAGGAAAAAGGGTCCCAGGATGAATAAGAATATCCTGGCTTGCTAACCTAAGAGCAGAGTATAGAAAGACCTCAACACAGCTATTCCGTGTAGCAACCAACAAAGTCATCATAGCCAGAATGATCGCCAATGTTCGGAACAGACAGGCATCCTAAGAAGAAGAACAGGAATTTAGTTTCCTTGTGGGTAAAAAATATTCTCTTCTACACGTCACCATGCAAAGAAGAGTAGTACATATGTATTTCCATTACAAAATTGATGAACCCCTAGATGAAAGTTTTTTTATAATATCTCATACTACACATTTCAACTATCAAACCCGTCTATACAGTGGTGTCGAGTAAAGATCTAACTTAATTGGCCTATTTTTCGGAAGTTGAATGAATATTGATGGTAACCAGTCTTTTGGTAAGTGACCAGTCTCATATTTGCTGTTGAATAGCTTCGAAAAACATCCAAAAAATTTAAATACCAGAGATGATGCCCAAACACTCCCAAATACGTGGAAACCAATTCTGCAGAAAAACGTAGAAATTAAAATAGCGAAGAAGACCCCGTCCACTCTGCGCACAGGACCAATCACAAGAAGCGCTTCAAGGTATTTAAACTTAGCGTGTCGCCAGGAACTCCGGATCATAGATTAAGTATATATAAGTAGAGAGATCCGGATAACGGAGAGGATGCTACGACCGTACGACAAGCGAGCAGCGACCGAGAAATCAGTTCTCCTGAAACATCAAGACGAAGCAGAACTAATCTGACTTGACAATGGCAAGTGTGACCTTGCCGAAAGGTCATCAAAACAATGATTTTTGTAAAAACCAAAACTACTTAACGCGGAGTCAAACCCCGGAAAACAACTGAAATCATATATATATATATATATATATATATATATATATATATATATATATATATATATATACAAACACAAACGGCATTCCCTTCTTAGACATGCGTGTCATTAGAATGGGAAATAACACCTTAACCACAAGTTGGTATAGGAAACCGATGGCCTCTAATAGGTTTCTCAACTACCATTCTTGTCATCCTTTCAAATATAAATTAAACCTAATTAAAGCTTTAAGCTAGGCAGGCTAAATATACTAACACATCTGGTTAATCGAAGGGAATCCCTTTAATTACTTGGAAATATTCTAATTGAGAATTCCCATCCATCTTCTCTCATTAATAAATAGCTTTATGTACAAATGTATGGTTCCTCTTTGAATGATATACCCAGTGGTGACCAACTTAGAATAATATCAAATTATTTTATTAATGACACTGCACCTGGGACTCCTACCACTCATTACTCATCTCTACCTTATTTTCCTCAAGTTACTGAAAAACTTATTAAACTGTATAAATAGAATAACGTACCTGTTAAAATTGCAGTTAAGAATGCCAAGACTGTTAGAAATTTATGATTTTTTGGATTGACCTCGCTTGTTTGTTCTTTGTTGTTCTTTGTTTCTCTCAACCGATCACTGGGGTGGGGGGGAAATGGTGTTCTCAACCACCTTTTCCTTTCATTTTTTGGTTTATACAGACAGGATGTCAACCAAATTTGTCATATTTTTAGATAAACCGCTCTATTGTTTAGAGTTGGTATTTCGCCTTGTTATTTTGTCACGCGTTGATCTCAAGGCCACTGTCTTTTCACATTGTTGGCGTTGTTAATACCTGTTGCCTTCATTTCACCGGCAGCAGACTAGAAGCTCGAAGTGGTAATTTTTTACATAATTTTTATATACATGTACAACTACCACATGTTCTTTTGCTGTGCTAAGTTTAAGAAAATTTTTAACTGTATTTAGTTCAATTTATTGTTTATACAACATAATCTTTTAATGTCCATTATCATAAGCTTCTTTGCAATTTTAATATCATTGACTGCTACATGTCTTTTTGAGGCAACACACTTAATAACTTCTCTTTGGATGTTTGGTTTTTCAAATTGTTCTTTTTAGATGAACTGATGAGGCTTTCTGATTAGAAAGCGAAAAGTCTTCAATAAATAGATAAAGTAGCCACCTTCTTTGTCTTTTTTTCTCCACCTTTTGACCCAAAAACCCAACACTCTTCGAGTGATCCTTAATTTATATATATATATATATATATATATATATATATATATATATATATATATATATATATATATATATCGGAAAAAGGAGTACGACCGTCAATCCAATATATATATAAGGATCACTCAGACGAGTGGTGGGTTCTTATATCGGTCTCTAGGTGGAGAAATAAATGACAAAGTTGATAGGCTACTTTATCTATTTTGAAGACGTTTCGCTTTCCAGTTTTGAAAGCATCATCAGTTCATCTAAAAAATTTTACAATATGAGAACCACACAATCATGGAAACGATGTTAATTGTTACCTTGGTAATGACATACCCGATGGTGACCAACTTAGAAACATCTCTAATAATTCTATAAATAGCACTGTTCTGCATAATACCGTTCTTGAGAATACTATCACACATTATTCTTCCTTACCTTATTTCCCTCAAGTTACTGAGAAGCTTATTAAATTGTATAAACAAAATAATATACCTGTTAAAATTGCTGTTAAGAATGCCAAAACTGTTAGAAATTTGTTCTCTAAAACTAAAACACCCTTGTCCACTTTGGAACAAGTGAACACTATTTATAAAATTCCATGCGCTAATTGCGATTTATGTTACATTGGTCAATCTGGTGGATCATTAAAAGGTCGTCTCACTTTACATCGTAGCGACATTAATTTATCGAAACACATTTGTGCCCTAGCACAACATGCGATAAATACAAAACATGAAGTGGATTTCAATGAAGTTAAGATCCTTGCAACTGAACGCAATCTAGCTAAAAGACAGTTTTTGGAAATGTGTTCAATATTAAAACACCCTAATGCGTTGAATAAGAGAACTGACATAAGTAACTTGAGTCAAATATATCATGCTTTAATTTTGCAGAATTAGGCTACTTGATCTTTTCATTACATTAATGTCATATTAGGTGTAGTATATGAACCTTTTTCCATTTTTCATAAAATAAATTATATACATAAATAGAAATAAAATAAATAAATATATCAATAAAATAACTTAATAGTCTTTACTTAATTTTACTATTACATATGCAACCTACATTGCATTTCAATACACTAATTACTTTAATTAGTGTTACCAATTTTGTATTAAAATAATACAAATATTGTAATTGATTCATAGAATCCTTTGCAAATCACAGTTCCAAGTATATTGAACCTTGGGCTGTTTGGAAATTATCAAATCGTTAACCACCTGTGGCTGTTTAACTAGCCATCATGATTAACGTTATTACATACTTATGAGGTTGAATGAAAATCTCCTGTTTGTAAATTTGGGCTGATTAGTGAGGGGAGTTGGTTTTACACTACCAACTTTTTTCACTGTGTTGTCCTTTGCAACCGGGTAGTCATCCAAACTCATTTAAACTTAAATTAACCGCCCAAAATTTGGGTTGGTATCTACACCTTGTTGATCTGTCAAAAGTATTTTTGACCTCAAGGTTGGCTGTCTTTTTGCGGTTTAGTTCGTTCCTGTTTCATTAAACGCCATTTTCCCGGCGACATTCATAGGGCTTTGATCGGTAACTTCATTTTTACTACTTTTTAAAATTTTATTAATATCACTTATAATGCTACCTAAAGTTAAAATCAAAGCTTAATATCCATTAAATAGTTGGAAGTTATTTATGATTTTCTTGGTTCTTACTCACTTATTAACATTAAATAACATTGAATTTACTTTAGACCACATGGTCATTTGCTGTGCTAATTTTTTACAAGTTCATATATGTTGTTAGTTGCTTAACTGTTTATACAAGATCAGCGTATTATGTCCATTTACTTAGTTTCATTCACATGTTTGTTAATAACATTGACTGCTACATATCTTTTTAAGGTAACAATTAACATCGTTTCCATGATTGTGTGGTTCTCATATTGTAAAATTTTTTAGATGAACTGATGATGCTTTCAAAACTCGAAAGCGAAACGTCTTCAAAATAGATAAAGTAGCCTATCAACTTTGTCTTTTATTTCTCCACCTAGAGACCGATATAAGAACCCACCACTCGTCTGAGTGATCCTTATATATATATATATATATATATATATATATATATATATATATATATATATATATATATATAAAATAAGGATCACTCGAAGAGTGGCGGGTTTTTTCGGTCAAGAATTGGAGAAAAAAGACAAAGATGATGGCTACTTCATCTATTTATTGAAAACGTTTCGCTATTCAATTTGATAGCATCATCAGTTCATCTAAAAAGAACAGTATGAAAAACCTAACATCCAATGAAAAGTTAATTAAGTGTGTTACCTCAAAAAGATATGTAGCTCCTTTTCTCGATATATATATATATATATATATATATATATATATATATATATATATATATATATATATATATATATATATATATATATATATATATATATATATATTATTTGTATTTTTATCCATAGAATTTAAAAAATGCACGTTATGGGTTTATTCTATAAATTACTATATTATACTTTCTCATAAAAGTTGCTTCTTTATTTATATTTTTTATTTCTAGAAAGATGCAAACTTCCAATATCTTTGGGTGAGTGTAATCAACGATTACTTCACTGGTTTTATGATCAATCCAAACAGACATGTGTAAAATATATGTATGGTGGTTGTTTTGGAAATTCCAATAGATTTAAGACGAAAGAAGAATGTTTAAAATTATGCAACGTGAACATGTACACGGAAATTTTAAAAGGTAAGTGAACGAAAATAATTAGTTCTTGTTTAGTTAATTTAGTTAGATCTTCAACAGATATAAGTTTTACCGTGCTGTAAAATCATTTTTATGAAGGATGAAGAAGAAAAAATTCCAGTTCAACATTTATAAGTAGAGACTGGAAAATATGCACTAAAAAATGTCTAAAATAGGCTACTTTTAAATCAGGATGAATATCCACTAATATTCCACAAATAATACGCCTAAAAATACTACTCAACACTACTAAATTACAAAACTATATATATATATATATATATATATATATATATATATATATATATATATATATATATATTGTTATGATATGTAAAATAGAAAATAATATTGGTTTGCTCTTAATATATTTCGAAGTACAAAATATAATAATTCAAATAATTCAACTAATAAACTATAAAAGATATTTCGAAGAAATGAAAGTCCATTATCCTGGATTACCTGTAGTAAACAAAATTTAAAGATATGCATAAATTATTTTCTTTGTAAAATATATTCGATTTACGTGAGTGAACTTGGTGAAATCGGGAACAATTCGAGCGGGTTTTCCAAATAGACTTGTACGTCGATACAGTGAATAAGACAATAGAATAGAAATATTTCGAAAATATAATTCTCCGTTTGTTCTTAAGAATTTGTAAGAACCGATTAGCATGTTAATAGTTTTTAGGAAATTTATAATTGTAGGTAAAATTGTTGTTTGTTATCTAAATGGTAGATGGGGATAAGTGTGACGAACTTTGATTAGCGGAGATTGAAAGAAGTGGGATAGGTATGTAGGAATGAGAGTTTAGCTACATTTTTGAGGAAGTAAAGATAATCAGTTGTTTTTCATGGGTTAAAGGCGAACAGTAGAAGTAAACGTTTGTGAGTTTTCGTGGAGTAAGTGTATCTGACGGAAGCTGATCCAGTAAAATATTGTAAGTTAAACTTTTCTACTTATATTCCAAGAGTAACTGTTCAGGCCGGAACGAGTGATTCAGTTTATCGAAAGGAGAAGAGGCTAGCATCATTTGAACGATACATGCATTTGAAGGAGATCATTAAAGACGAGAGGCTCGCAATAATTTGTTGTAAGATTGCTGATTACCTAGGGGACTGCTAAAAATAGATAGTGTAGGCTACAAGGAACAAGGATTTGGATAACTCATCATCAGAGAGATAGTTGTTACCATTCGTCGTACCATTCTTTATTAACAACACATTTTTAACAATTGCTTTAGAAAATATAGGAATGTTTTGATCAGGTGATTTAGAACAACTATTTTGATTTGAACTTTTTGAAGGTTCACGTACGTAGAACAAAATTTTGATAATCATCATGAGATATTTTTTATTGAAGATATTTGAGTGTGGATTTTATTTCAATATATAATGTTCTATCATATACGTTTTTATTATTCCGGTATTCTTTGGACCTTATATATCATATGTAAAGCATAGATATTGAAGCACGAGTATAACCCTGAGATAAGAGAATTGAATAGTGTGATAAATCATAATTGCATTATTTAATTAAGTTTAATTAATTAATTAATTAGCTAATTAATTGCTTGGCGCACCTCATACTTTTAATATCACATTAATATATATCTTAATATATTTAATAATTAATATATATATATATATATATATATATATATATATATATATATATAATCCAGTCCATTAATATATATATATATATATATATATATATATATATATATAGATATATATATATATATATATATATATATATATAAAATTTAAATAATTTATGCATATCTTTAAATTTTGTTTACTACAGGTAATCCAGGATAATGGACTTTCATTTCTTCGAAATATCTTTTATAGTTTATTAGTTGAATTATTTGAATTATTATATTTTGTACTTCGAAATATATTAAGAGCAAACCAATATTATTTTCTATTTTACATATCATAACAATATATATATATATATATATATATATATATATATATATATATATATATATATATAATCCAATCTCTACTTATAAGCAAGGAAAAGAATTTATTATTACAAAACAGTAGCTATAAAAACGTATGCGTACACATTGAATTTTTCTTTCTAGATGCCTGTTTTAAACCCAAAGATAAAGGTCATAAACGTTGCCGTCGATTCGAAATTAATTATTATTTTGACGAGAGTTATACATTATGCAGAAAATTTTGGTTCACTGGATGTGGAGGAAACGATAACCGATTTAAGACTAAAGAATTATGTGAAAATATCTGTGTTCGCTCCAAACATAACGGTAAGATATTTATATTCACTCATTATATATATATATATATATATATATATATATATATATATATATATATATACATATATATATATATGTATATACATATATATATATATATATATATATATATATTTAATTAGGGTTGCAGTCAGAATATTCTGACTGCAACCCTAATAAACTATCTTGTTTGTTTATATCGACAGTCACTAATATCCAGTATTTCTCATATATATATATATATATATATATATATATATATATATATATATATATATATATATATATATTTTTAGGCTTTACTTCTATAGATAATGGTATTTATTTAAGGAACCTTATTATAAATTATTTAAAACATTAGAAATCCACGTGTACTTGTATAAAGACCGTATGTCTGTCATGTCATGTGGGACATAACCATTATTTGTAAAAGCATGTATTTCATCCCTTTATTACTTCACTTTTTATGTTCAAAAGTTCTATTATTTCAAATTGTTCTCCACTCGTTTTGTTTTGTTACCTGTCTCTTCCTCTGTCATGCTAAATTATCGTGCGTTAGCTAAGAAAGGTAAGAGTAGAAGAAGAACTAACTGACCCAATTGAAGATGGGTATATGAAACAATGATATAAGACAGGGGGTAATGATTCCCTGAATCCTTTACTGTTCAACCTGACCATGGATGGAATAATAAAAAAAAGTAAAGAACTAAAAAGGATACTAAACGTTAATTGCCCCAAAAAAGACAAAAGGTATGATTATAATAGGAAATTTACTATGGCAAATCTACTTGGCATCACACTATCTAGATACGGAACGCTCGAAACAAAAATGAAGATCTGGAGAAATAAAAATATCAGGAAAAAATGAAAGGCAAACTTTATAAAACAATTATCAGACCAAAAATGACATACGTGGTAGAAATACTGACACATGGAGGACAAACAGAATTCCAGAATCACCAGAAATGGTAACTCTTAGAAAAATCAGTGGTAATATACTATGACACAGAGCTAGAACTACAGATATATGACGCAAATGCATGTTGGAAGACATCAATGACTAGGTAAGAAATAGAACATTAGAAAGAACGATCATATAAGGAGAATGGCAACAAATAGAGTAGTAAAAACGGCGAGGGATAGTTTCCCAATGGGAAGACGATCAGTGAGAACTTACTGAAGGCACATTAAAAAATAAATAGAGTCATGTCTACACAAAAAGAAAAATGAGTAGAGCTACCAAATTGGATATGCTAGCGTTAAATTTGTATAATATTGTACTATTATTATAAATCTAATTGGTTTTACACTTTTACAACACTTACAAATTTATTAAAGTCTTTATTTATACTACACTAATTTATTTTTACACTATAATCATATAATTTATTTTACATTTATTACAATACGCCTGTTACATTTCAAACTCGATACAATTATATTTTCGGACTGCTCGATTTTCAATAAAATGTCATATATATATATACCAAATAACCGTTATTCTCGAATCAGATATGGGTCATTATTTATCGTAACAATATTATTTAATACCTACTGTAGAATTATTTCTATTTCTCGGTTTTGTAAGGAACCTTGATTATAACTTCTCCCAGCTCGTATTTTCTTGTTCCAATCTTTTTAGTTCCCTCTTTCTCAAACAAAAATTTATTAAATAATTCTTCCCATATCGATTTTCATAGCTAATCATTATTTTCTTCTTTTGTTTTTGATTACACTTCTATATATAACTTTTTTCATTGTCTTATTTTCGTTCGCAAATTTCTAAATCGAACACTTTATTAGTTTGTGGCTTTTGTAATATTTCGTTTGCTTTATTTAATTTTCCAAACCTTTTTGTCAATTATTTTATTATTTTCTATCTTAATCTGCAACTGTTTTATCATCTCAAAATTGGAGGGTCAGCAGACTAAAGTACATAATTCAAAAACTGTAGATTTTCAGAAATTTAATAAAACTATATAAAAAAAAATAATTCAATAGTTTTTAAAAACGTTTATTACATTTTATGAGAGTATGTACAACATATTTACTAGTAGCAAAAAGTCAAAAAGAACATTGGCATATATGACTTATGTTTAACAGCACAACTAGGTATTGTAGCTTGTTACATCACAATATTTTCTTAATATTATTCATCCTCGTCATCTAAAATATCAGGATCCATATTAGCTACAGTTTCTTTACTAGGCAAATTTATATAAAATTTATGGAAAACATTTAGTATCAATTTTAATAGAGAAATTAAGTCATCGTTTTTTTTTTCTTTTGATATAGGTAAAGGCAGTAGTAATATAACTGGAATGTTATTAGGTATAAAGGATGACCTTTATCTCAAATTTATCTTGTAAAATTCTGATTCCATTTGCAAGGTGTCTTTGTAGGAATCCAGTCCAAATTCCGTGTCATAGTGGAGCCACCTTTTGCCCAACCCTTTAAACTGCTTTCCATCTACATCTTTATTTCTTAATACCAAAGAACCTTTCAGTAACGATGTAAAGTTCAAAGAGTCAGTATTCTGCATTTCCACACCTTAAAATTTGTTACTGCTGGACCTAATAAGTTGTATTCAGTCATGAGGATGATATATTTGGATTTCTGTTTATTTTTTCTTCTTTTCTATTATCCCATGATCCTGTATCAACTTCTAAATGGCTATGTACGGGAACCATAAATTTATGGTCGATTATCTCTAACTGTAACTTATGTACAGCTCATATAAACATAGAACTGACGTGAGAATTTCTATTCTGACCTCGATAGGTATCAGAGTAAGATATTACGCTTCTTGTGTTATTAGATAGGTTTGTTTGAAGATGTTTAAAGAGACAAGATGCAATCTGATTCGCTCCTCGAGCAGCAATAGTTTCATACTACACATAACATACTGTTCTTCCGGTCTTATTGTCATGTATGGTCAAATTGAACGCCCACAACTGACGTTTATAAAAAGCTACAGAAGAAGTAAGTGATGGAGTCGGTAAACACTGTTGTAAATGAAATGTATACACTTTACGGTACTATCATTTTGATACATCTGTGTGTCATTTTTTTTTTCGATTCGTAAGCTTCATTTGCTGTCATTTTATGATTATCATGTTGCGAAGTTATTTTAGTTATGGTTTGTTCATCTTGACAAAGTTAAATTTGCATTTTTTACTTATCACAAGTATAGCATGTCTTAACACGAGGTTTTTCGAAACATAACCCTAATTTGTTAAATTCTTGGCTATACATTTTTATTTAAGGGGGTTTGGTATACGTGTCACAAAATAGTTGATACATTTTGGTAATTGTTAGGTGGGAAGGCAAATATTTCTTTAATGTACGCTTTCTGGTGTAGTGACTTTTTTATGATTTTATGTGATTTTTTATTTCCTTCCTTTTATCATCGGATATTTTAGTTTTAGGTACAGTTGTCCCACGCATATGATTAATATTTGTACCACCTACTAAAGACCGTTTTTTCATTGCCATGGATTTTATAAAATTATCACTTTCGTCAAAGGTTTTCAGTAAACGTCCCCTACAAATAGGTTGACGCAGTCAATCTATTACAACAAAATATTAATACGTCTTCATACGAAATTTCTGTTTTTCAGGATCCATTCCGCGTTGTCTTTGGGTAGGTTTGTCTTCAATCTCTATTAATGATGGCATGTAAGCAGACCTTTTTTGGTATGTACCCATTAGCCAATATTCATTGAATATCGCTTCTCTCTTAGTCAAAGGTATACGCTCCTTGAATTTCATGCGACATGCCAACAGTTCTTTCATGAAACTATCAGTGATAACTTTTCCTTTGAGAGTTTTATATGACTTACCCAGATTTCTTTTCATTTTGTTTTCTCGTGTTTAACCGAGTGAAGACTCTTTGTTGGTCACACTGTCGGAGAGTTTCGTTAAGTCGATTTATCACTTGAACTTGAATGTACCGTTTATATTTCTGGAACTTGATAATGTGGATCTTGTATGGAATCATCACTTGAAAAATCCAAATCTGTTGGAATAAACGTGTTCCCATGAAGGCCTGATGATGTTGAAGGTTCATTTTCGATCAAATAAATAAAACATCAAAACATAAATAAAGAAACTAATGTAGGAACAAAAATATTCATACAAAAATTCTTCAAATTGCCTGCTACTTATTTAAAAAATGTTTTACACTCACCTTCGACACTAGCTTTTTGATTTAACACCAAATTTACTAGTTTTTTTTTATCCATTCTTGTGGCTCTTTATAATGTAAATGTTTTAAGTAGGTAAAGTTTGTTAAGAAGTAAATGGTTGACTTTACCGAATATAAACATTCTGGGTTAACCGGTAATGGTATAAAAGGCCCAGGCCCGGTTTCAAGTAACAATGGTTTCAATGGTTTACCTGTTTTACAAGGTCTTAACAATGGGCCAAGTCAGATAAATTTAATAATATTTACCATCAATTTACGTCAACCGTTTTCTGCTAAATAAACTTTACCTAAAGTTAAATATCTGTATATTCTTTAATAAGTAAGACGATCACGTCAATCACTTGAGGTAGCTAACAACTTAAGTCAATCCTATAAATTAGCAAAACAGAATATATCAGTAGTACTTTTTTACATAAGTCAATTTATATTTTTTATAACGTCTAAAGATTTGTAGTAATTGAAATGTTGAAAAAGTATGCTACTTAAAATCAATGTGAAATAAACATGTAGGACACTTATGTGCTTAAGTTAGTTGATGAAAAAATATATAGACATATGTATGTACAAAAAGAGAAATTGATTTTTTTGACGTATATGCTTTAGTCTAGGATTTATCATATCACATTTTATGTATATGTTGTAAAAGGACTTTTAGATCTCCAGATCACTGTCCGTATTCTTAGGTAATAAATAGTAATAAAGTTAACGCGAACTGATTTCGACCGACAAATGAATCTGAAGAGCCCAAGAAGGGCGGCAATCGTTTCGCCAGGAGTGTACATACCATAATGAGCCTTTATCAAGTAGAAATAGTTTCTTTCGACAAAGAAAATTGAGTGACAGATAAAATAGACAAATTAAAGTTTTTTGTTAACCTTACAATATAAAAAAGAATATTAATATTTATATCTCTTCCTTTCAGATATTTGTTTCGCTCCACCTGAAAGAGGAACATGCAATGACTTACATCAAGCTTGGTTTTATGATCCAAGAAGTGCCCTTTGCCAACCTTTCGTTTATAGCGGATGTGGAGGCAACGAAAACAAATTTGATTCGAAAGATGACTGCGAGAAAGCGTGTATTGTATAGAATTAAAATCATACAATGTTCAAATATATTTATTAATTATTTTTATTTATATACCTACTAACTTTGTAGTTTTTATAAAATTTAAAAAATTAACAATACATTTTATCCAAAGTATAATTTTTTTTGTTTTGCCTCTATTTTTATTGCCTAAATTAGTAAATAGTAGAAACAAATTTTCGAGAAAGCAGAGCCACGGTAGACGTTTGAACGATATTATATTCCATACTTAAATGCCATCAAGAGACTTTTCAACCTAATAAAAAATTTCTATGAATTTGATTACACTGACCTTGTTTTATTTAAATCACAGAATACATCACCCAATAAGAAGCGAAACAAAGGGCTTTTTCGCAATCCAAATTTCTGTGAGATCCGCCATTCTTTTAAATAGTTTATCTGTCAACCTATAAAAACTGAAGTTTGTTTACGTATTGAAAAGTGTTGTTTCGTGTGTACCTATTGTGCATCGAGCAAAAAGACAGTGCTCGATGGTATTGTGTAATACTAATAAAACAATAATACTGTTATACGTATTTTGGGACATTTTTCAATTTACAATGTATTGACGTTTTGACATCCTTCAACTTTAAGTCAATGGAAACAAGAAAAGCTTTATTGACAGCAGACACGTCACGTCGCTTGTAGGATTTGCGTGAGACTAATGGATATTGACGTGTAGAGTTTTGTTTTATAATTAAACCCATCTATATCGTTTCCTTAAAATCCAAATGCAGCGTACTTTTCTCTCCTCTAAAGTTAACAGGTCTTAATTCTTGATCAACTACACTAACGGTAATTTTGGTAATTTCACGCATGCTGTTGCTTATGAGGACGTTCGTCTAAAGAAAACCCAGGATCAACCCTTATCGGAAAATGTAGAATCGTGTCCGCAGGTCTGTCCTCGTAGAAAGCTCCTTCGGTAATGTTTCATTCAAAGAGTAGACTCGATACTTTTATAATGCTGACAGGTTGATCTGAAGAATGTATTTTTCCTGTGACCAAAATTCTATTTGAAGAGAAACCCAATAATTTTCCAAGACTATCATTTTTATCGAAAGTAATGGTGTGCTCCTGACAAAAAATTTCACATTTCAGCGTATTGTTGTTCGGTCTTAACCCTAATAGCACACGTACGTCCAGTGGACGTCCATAGTACGTCCCTCACGGACTTTAAGGACGTCCGCTTTGGTCCTATTTACGTCCGTTTTACGTCCTATATTGGTCCGAATGTCGCTGCGCCGAACGTCCTATGGACGTCCATTTTACTTCCCGAGCGGACGTTAGTTGGACGTACCGGGACGTTAATTGGACCTTAATCGGACGTCCATAATACGTCTGGAGGACTTACTTGACGGACTTTTGTGATGTTCTCGGACGTCTATTTTAGTGCTGAGGATATAAATTAGACGTCAACGCCAATGTATTAAATACTAAAAGTGATGTCATCCTGTGCATATTAAGAATGTATTTTGGAAAATAAAACGTAAATGTTTAAAGGAACTTACATTTATTGTTACATTTATTTATTATTAACAAATGGGACAAATCCACTGTCCAAATTATACAAAAATGCAACGTTATAGAAATATAAAATAATTTTTAGTAATAAAACATAAATGTTTATAGGAACTAACATTTATTATTACATATATTTATAAGTAAATTCACGAACCGAATTGTATTTACTCATTAATTCATTTCGAATGTACGCTTCGATATTAGTAATTTCATAGCATCCGGATGGAATTTCAATATTACGTAGCTTTGTACGAACGTTTTGCTCATAGAAATAAAACTTTTCACCATCGATATTTGGAATTGAATTAAATGTATGAAATCCTAACACTGCTACATAATACTGTCGAAACGGATCAAGCATAAGAGGCACTTGTGGAGTAAACGAAAATTCGTTTGTAGTACTCGTCAGGGTCAACAATCGAGACATGACTGATATGTGCTATAAGATGTAGTAAGTTAAATAACAAAATATGTTAAAAATTTCTTTTTATTTTTCTTATACTGTTACTTATTTTTATTTTCCATGTTTTATTTTCCACAAATGCCACAAATATCATTCCATTCATGTTTATCATAATCTTTCTTGCAAGGTACCTATTTTTCAAGTGCGTGACGAATATCTTGAGGTTCTTCTTCTTTTTGTGCCACTCCTATCGGAGATTGGAAATCATCAAGGCTATTCTGACCTTGTTTACGGCTGACCTAAAGAGTTCATTAGTGGTGCAGCCAAACCACTCTCTCAAATTCCGCAACCATAACATTCTTTTACGGCCTGGATTCCGTTTTTCTTCTATTTTTCCCTGCATTATATTTTGAAGTAATGCGTATTTATGTCCTCTCATCAGGTGACCAAAATATTCGAGTTTTCTTCGCTTTAGCGTTAACAAAATCTCTGGGTCTTTTCCTATTCTTCGTATTACTTCACAGTTTGTTATTCTTTCAACCCAACTAATCTTTAGCATTCGACGGTAGCACCACATCTCGAAACTTTCAATATTTTTCATGTTGTTCTGTTTGAGAGTCCAGGCCTCTACACCGTATAATAGCGTGTTAAATACATAGCCTCTCAGCATTCTTAATCGTAGAGGGATGCTTATATTTCTGTTGCAGAAGAATTTTCTCATCTTTATGAAGGTGGCCCTGGCAATTTCGATACGTCTTTTTATTTCACAGTTTTGGTCTCCAGTTTCGTTTATTAAAGTTCCCAAGTATTTGTAACTTGATACTTTTTCAACTTGAGTGCCGTTTATACTAATATACGCTGGTTGTGTCATGTTTTTATTGAAGACCATATACTTGGTTTTTTTAATATTGATATTTATACCATAATTGTTGCAAGCAATATTTATGTCTGTAAGTAATCTTTGTAATTCTTCTACTGTTCTTGCAACTAGTACAGTGTCGTCCGCGTATCGATTATTATTTACAATCTCTCCATTAATTACGATTCCTCCGTTTGCTTGTAAAAGGGCTTCCTGACAGATGCTTTCACTATATACATTAAATAACAGAGGTGACAAAATGCAACCCTGTCGTACTCCTCTACGTATTTCTATTGCTTGTGATGTTTCAGTTTCTATTTTGATGTTAGCTTTCTGATTCCAATATAGATTGAGAATTATTCGCAGATCTTTATTATCTATGTCCTTCCTTTCAAGAATCTCTCTAAGCTTATCATGGCGTACTCTGTCAAACGCTTTTTCAAAATCGATAAAACACGTATGTACCTCCTGATTAACATCTAGGCATCTTTGTGTGAGAACATTCAAACCGAAGAGAGCTTCTCGAGCACCAAGCCCTTTTCTGAACCCCATCTGTGTATTACTAATATCTGACTCCAACTTTTGATAAACTCGGTTGTGGATGATTTTTAGAAATATCTTTAGTAGGTGGCTCATTAAAGATATTGTTCAATGTTCTGAACATTCTTTAGCATTAGATTTCTTTGGCAGTGTAACGAATGTAGACAACAGCCACTCTAGAGGTATAATGCCAGTATTGTATATTGTATTAAGTGCAATATTATACCTATTGATTCATCATTCAAGAGCTTTAGCAATTCGGTAGGAACCTCATCCGGTCCATTTGCCTTCCCAGTTTGGGAATTTTTAAGTGCCATTTCTACTTCACATTTTAGAATTTCAGGTCCCGTTTCGCCATATATCAGAACAATGTTATTTCTGTTGTCCTCAAATAATTCTCTTATGTATTCACTCCATCTATTAATTTTCTCTGTTAAATCTATAATAATCTTTCCATCTTTGTTCTTAAGCAAACTTATTTGACGTCTTCTTTGGGTTCCTGTAATTTCTCTTACTTTTTTATGTATATTGAATGTTTGGAAAAGTGTCAAGTAATTTAAATATTTTATTTTTATTGTTACGAATATGGCCTTATTTAGTTTTAAATCTTATTTAATCATAATATATTACCTAATTGCAATATGGCTTTAGTTTATTTTTAAATTCTCGAACTCAAATTGGCTGATCTGCCAATTGTTATTTGAATTCATTTTATTTTACATATATTTGCTACAAATATTCGCTATTTTCGCTAATCTTATATACAATCTAATATTGCATTTTTTCGTTAAAATTATTTATCCAATACAATTTAACCAGCGATCTCTCAAGTTTAATCACTAAACATTGAACGTGTCATACTTTCTTTCATAGTTTTCCATTTCTACACATTGTTCTGTAATCCATGATTCTTTGGCATTTCTTATTCTTTGCTTTATGTTCTTATCAACCTCTTTTTATTTTTCTGCATTATTCTTCATTTTACGTCTTTCATCTATTAGTTCTAGAATGTCTGGTGTCATCCACACCTTATGTTTCTTTGCAGATTTGGTTAGGTGTTTCTTTCCCGTAGTTCTTATTATAGTATTTATATACTTAAGTTTTTCATCTATGTTGTCTGTTCTGCGAATTTGGCTTTCTGCTACACTTAGCCTGGTGTTTATTTCTTCTCGCACTGTTTGTCGTAGATGTTCATTTTTAAGCTACCTTAAGTCTAATGCTGGAATGATGGCTTTTCTTATTTTCTTTGGTCTAGCTTCTATCACAGATACTACTGGATTATGATCCGAACCGATATCAGCTCCAGGGAAAGTTTTAGTAGATTTTACGGCATTACGGTATCTTTTTGTCACCAATATGTAATCTATTTGGTTTCTGACCACTTTTTCTTGGGTATGTTGAGGTGACGTCCACGTATATAGTCGTCTTGGGGGTAGTTTAAAGAATGTATTAGTTATTATTAAATCTTCGCTTTGACAAAACTGAACTAAACGATCACCCCTTTCATTTCTATTACCTAAGCCATATTCACCGACATTTTCTCCAACTTTACCCTGACCTACCTTGGCGTTCAGATCGCCCATTACTATGTTAATGTGTTGTCATTTTGTTGTTCTCATCACCTCTTCTAAGATATTATAGAATTGTTCTATTTCCTCTTCGTCTTTGTCTGCTGTAGGAGCGTACACTTGTATGATGTTTATCATGTTCTTCTTATCTTTTAATTGTATTAACATCACGCGCTCTGAGAATGGAGTAAAGTTTACTACAGCATCTTTCC